AAAGAAGAAAAATAGATAAAAATATGAATGAGATGGCAATAAATACACGTCTATTAACAAATGCATTAAATTCAAATGCATTAAATTTTCCAATCAAAAGACATATGGTACCTAAAGGGATAACAAAACAAGATTCTTATGCACTCTACAAGAGACTCACCAGATCAAAAGACACTCACAGACTGAAGGTAAAGGGATGGAAAAATATATTTCATGAAAATGGAAGCAAAAACAAATAGACAAAATAGACTTTAAAACAAAGTCTATAACGAGACAAAGAAGGACCCACCAATTCCACTTTTGAGTATTTATCTGAAGAAACCCAAAACACCAAATTGAAAAGACATATACAGCCTGGCTGGGCGTAGCTCAGCGGTTGAGCATCGACCTAGGATCTAGGCGATCGGGGTTCGATTCCTGGTCAGGGCACATGCCCGGGTTGCAGGCTTCAGCCCATTAATGACTCTCTCATCATTGATCTTTCTATCTCCTCTCTCCCTCTCCCTTCCTCTTTCTGAAATCAATAAAGATATATTTTAAAAAAAGAAAAGACATAAAGATTATTTACAATAGTCATGATATGGAATCAACCTAAGTGTCCATCAGTAGATGAATGGATAAAGAAGTAGTGCATATGTAAAATGAAATATGACTCAGCCATAAAAAAGAACAAAATATTGCCTTTTGCAACAACAACATGGATGTACCTATAGGATTTAATGCTGAGCAAAATAAGTCAGACAGAGAAAGAAAAATGCCATATGATTTCATATATATGTGGAATCTAAAAAACAAAATATATGAATAAGCAGAACAGAAACAGACTCACAGATACAGAGAACTTTTTGAAGGTTGACAGATTGGAGGGGGTTTGGGGGTATGAGTGAAAAAAGGTGAAGAGATTAAGAAGCACAAATTGGTAGTTACAGAATTGCCATGGGGATGTAAAGTACAGCATAGGCAACAGGGTCAATAATGGAATAACTACGTATGCAGTCAGACAAGCACGAGACTTATCAGGGTGATCGCCTTGTAAGTTGTATAAATGTCTGAACACTGGGTTGTACACCTGAAAGTAATATAATATTGTATGTCAACTGGGATTTACAAATAAATAATTATTTAAAAGTAAATCTAATTTTATTTATTTATTTATTTTTAATCCTCACTCGAGGATATTTTTTCCATTGATTTT